TAAATTAAAACTATTCTTTCATTTTTTTTTTTCTGAATTTATCAGTATGATTCATAAGCGATGGTACTGCTTTGCTTAATTTACTTATGGATGGTTTAGTAATATGGCTAACATTTTAAGTTGAGCTAATATTAGCTGGTACTCAAGTTTATATACTGTGAGAACTAGAGAAAAAATAACTACCAGTTTTATTTGGTTATACATTTTTATTGCTTTTTAATTTACAGCAAGCTTATAGTGATGGTTATTACCTCTGTGCAATGGTACAATATTACATAATTTAGGCAGTTCATCTTAAAATAATCTGATAATTATTTACTTGGCTATATACTTTGTAATACCATGCTCAATTCAGTTTGAGAATATAGTTGAATACTCTTGATTGTTATAAATAAAATGTTACAGTTGCACTTAACTGACATTTTTTTGTGGGATATTTCAAAGCAAGTATTTCTATAAACATTAACACCGAAATTATGCAATTTTTGTAAGTTATGAAGTGCAGAGGAAAGTACTGTATTGCGCATAATTATAATGGCTCAAGGCTCCCAAAAGCATTGCAGGCTGCCAGAAAAATTTGTATCCCGTGATTGCCGTCATCAGTCAAGGGATTGAGATGTATGTCACTGTTTGACTGTGCTACTCTTGGTGGTGGAGGCCTTGGAATCTGTGCCATGCTAGTGGTCCACAGCTGTAATGGTGACCGGCCTTCTGCTGTGCGTATGCAATGATTGTTCCACTGCAGAATAAATTCGTCTAAGGCTCTGTTGATCCTTGGTAGGTAAACATACTGTAGGACCATAATATGGAGGGGGTTATTTTCATCCAAAATTCCAAAGCTCTCCATGAACAAGAAAAGGTCCTTGAAATAGACTGAGACCACTCTGTTGACCTCGGCCCAGAGCCTTTCGATACGCTGGTTATGAACACTAGGTCCAACCATGAAACTTCCTCTGTTTAACCCACGGTTTGCAATCATAAAACGTGCAATGTCCATATTTTCACTTCCTGCATCTCCTCTAACTCGGCTGGGAAGTCCAAACTCTGCAACAGCATCTTTGAACAGTTCAAGAGCCGTTGATGCTCTGCTGTTGGTGCAGCATTTAAGGTAGGTTATGCACCTGCTAAACCCATCAACACAGCCATGAAACACGAAGCCCCAGGCATTTAATTTATGGTTGGTATCTGTATGCCTGCAATTAGAAAGTTATCATTAGGCGAGTCCAAAAGAACACAGGGACACTTAAGTTCCAACGGTTATATAGTCAAAAAGCCAAAAATCCCCATGCTAAGAAAACAGATTTTATTCTTGTATGGGATATTATAATGAAATTATGGCAAAACTGAGAAGAATGTTGTGCAGCTTTGATAAACTTCAAAAATGGATGGAACCTTACTGGTGTAGCAGTGTAGGGAACTTAAGTAGAACAAACACTGAAGTATGATAACCCAATAAAATCAAATAGTCTGATGTAGACTACAATTTGCAAGAAATATATACAAAACTAAATGTGGATAAAGGACCGTTAGTGTTCTGAAAATTGTAGTGAAATGTTCACAAACCATACTGCAATAAAATTTACTAAGTGGAGCATAATTCCTCCAATGCTTGAAATATGGGTGCATGACAAGGATTTTCATGCACAACCTACGCACACAAAATAAACGCAAAACAGGGGGTTGAGTTTACATACCAAAGTTGATTGGGAAGATGAACATTGTAGACTCTCCTTCTGATCGCCCGTCTCCTCCGTACTGCTCTTCCTACAGGATCCAAAATTCGCAACCGCTCACGAATTCTCCACCTTTGTACTCTGACACCTCGTCCTCTTAAACTGCCCGCAATGTATGTTTCTCCAGCGTTTGGTGTTAGTGCAAGCACTCTAAGAATAATATTGTCCAGTTCAGTGTTGGACAAAGAACTAAAACTGCCATAGTCCAGTAAACCTAGCTGTCTTCTATGATTAAACAAAGTGCGAATATTAACACAAAGCATTCGGGATATAGCTGTCCAGTTGAATCCTAAATCACGCAGATTCATAAGTTGAAAACCTGGTATATGAAATCTGAAAGAAAAAAATAGGCCAATACATTAGTTATTTACATTGAACAGTTATTGGGCTACAAAAAATGCGCCGTTTAAAAATATACATTACATTTGTAATGGGATTACTTTATACTTCTCAAGGGACATGCTTATTATTGTTATCCAAATATATCAGCAATAAAAATACATTGTGTGAGAAAAATAAGCCTATAATAATTACGATTTTGCAAATAAATTAGAATAAATAATAAACAATAAATCAATTAACACTAAAATTATGCGAAAATTCTCAGCGGGAGCAAAATATTTATTATAAATGAGTCAAACGTAAGAACGAAATAATAGTTTGAACCTAAAGTGTACAAAACCTTATATAATATGAAGTTACAATATGTCAGCCATTATAAAACAAAATAATGCCGCTGTGTACTTTCCATGTAAGCACTTCACACGCTACCTGTGAAAAACATGATAGACGAAACAAATTAAGACGTATGCGTACGTATGTGTTTTTGCCTGAGCACTACATTCAGGCGGTTATATAAGATAAAATAAATACTTAAAATACATATTTGATCAGTGTTTGTAACATTTGTAACAATCTATGTAAATGTATTGAGTTACTGCTATAAGACACTAGTACTATGTGTGCCATTACCCTAACATGACATATATGCATTATGAATTTGTCACAAAATAACAATGCTAACTTGTAAGAAAAGGGGATGAAAAAAATGAAAACGCAACTTTAACGAGTTTTTGCTGCCCAGCTTGCCACTGAAAAGAAAACATGGTGACAGTTGCTCCTTCGCTGTATAGAGAGTATATAACGCAGAGCGGTGTGTACATTGCGACAGGTACTGTACGTGGCAAATGTAGGATGGACGGTCTTGTATGCCCACCTTGGTCGTCCCGAATAAGATGAGTCCTGCACGCCAGCTGCCATATTATTACGTTGTGGATGTGTACTCCGGTCAAAGAATTCGATTTGGTTGGTAACATCATTTAGCATGTCTTTGAGAATTTCACAAATGTTGGTCAAGAGATGCATCACATCAATATAGTTTGCGTTTATATTAGCAAAATTGTTTAAGGCTATCAAGAATGCCATTATCATCGTGACATGGTCTTCAATGTACATTGATCTTCGTTCCAAAATATTTATATCGATAGAATGCTGTTCAGCTCTAGCAAGGAAGTGATATAATTCAGTGAAGTATTGCAGAATATCAACTGTTGCCATTTTGGCTAATTTTGAAAAGAAAAAAAAAGCTGTGAAAAGGAACCCGACATAGAAATGATACTTGGCCTTCTATATATTCCAGGTTTCATTTTATATTTATGATCTTTTATTCCATATATTCCAAGTTTCATTGTATATATATCAGGTTTCATTCCATATATATCGGCTTTCATTCCATATATTCCGAGTTTCATTGTATATATATCAACATTAATTCTATATATTCCGAGTTTCATTGTATATATATCAACATTAATTCTATATATTCC